GGGTCACATATTCTAACCCTATATTCTACATCTCTACTTCCTCCCAATACCTAAACTTAACTACTTTACTAACTATTAATAAGCAGCAAATTCGGAGTTTATTTTCCATAATACAGAATAAACTATATCTGCATGTAATTCATTGTATACTCTTGAAGCTTCTCTCTGGGCCGCTTAATTGCTATTATTATTAAGTAAAAGAGTTTGAGATAAATTATTTATTTTGGAATTAAACGGGTTTGTTCTATATGGACATATGGTATTAATTTAATTTGGTCTTAAAAAGGAGAAGTGAAATTAAGTGAATTAGTCTAAATTAATGTGAATTGAACTGAAGTGAGGTCCAAAGTAAAGTGGTTAATTTTTTTCAGGTAAACTCTAATGAGACTGATTGAATTCACAGTCACAGGACGCAAACCTTTACATGAACTGTAACATCATTTACATGGATGTTTTATGTAAAAGACTTCTACATATTTTGCCCTCTCTTTCTCCCTAGATCTTTCTCTCCGCCCCACCACTCTGTCCATCCTCTCTGTTCGAGCTGATGATGCGTTGCTGGAGTCGTGACATCGCAGACCGGACCACTTTTCACAGATTGTATCAGGCCCTGCGAACTTTTGCGCCCCACTCATGACCGACACCTGCTCTACTGAATTAACCTGGAGGAAAACTGATATACAAGTCTTCTGACTGCTCGCCAGTCGCTGAAGTAGAGCAGGAACATTAAAGCCACAATGTAGCGCCATTAGAGCGGTAGAAATCCAATGGAGGAGAGATCTAGTTATGATGAGATTTCACAAAAGGCATTCATTCATTTATCCACTCACATATTCATCTCCTTTGGGACTTTTTTTCCAATCCATAGACAGTTGAGTTTTTTTTTTTTAGACTTCGTTGTTGTTCTTTCCCTTTTTTCTTTATCATATATGTTATTTCTGGGGTTTTTTTTCATTTTCCAACAGTGACTCTTGAGCCTACTGTATATTCTAGGCAGAAAGAACCAACTGGACGAATGTTTTGTTTGTCAAAACTGTGGTTGCGTATCGTTAAGCACTGCTGTCTTTGGTTTTTATTTAGTTTTAGTCTATTTTTGATCCTTATTTACCCCCACACTGGAGTTACTGTGTCTTATGATAGTAAGTGTTGTTTTGCTCTCTAAATATGAATGTTTTTACAGGTTCTTTGGATATAGCCGGGTCAGAGACTTGCTCTGCCTGGATCTAGCAGAACTACTGTTATAGTTAGATTAAAAACCCTTTCGGAGGAGAAGGGAGAGGGTTATAGAGCCAACAATGGACTGACGTGCAATTGAATGCACTGTTTCTTCCCCCAACTTTTAACAGGCCACTTTAAAGTCAGCAATCAGAACAGACCAATGGACCATGATTCATCCGTGCATGTTTCCAAAGAAGACAATGTTCGTTATTGTAGTGTTTCATCAAAATGTAATAGCTTGGTTCTTGGTTAATGTTAAAAAAAAAACAAGAAGTATTTCCATTGGGATGCGTCAAGATGTTCTTGGGGTGAATTTGACCTTCAGCCTCGAAATGCAGATGTCCAATTAAAGAAGTAAAATGGGTTGTTAATGCCATTTCATGTTGGCTTTAAAGGAATAGTTCATCCAAAAATGAAAATTTGATGAACATTTACTCACCCTCTGACAATCCAAAATGTAGGTGCGTTTGTTTCTTCATGGGAACAGATTTGGAGAAATTTAGCATTACATCACTTGCTGGATCCTCTGCAGTGAATGGGTGCCGTCAGAATGAGAGTCCAAACATCTGATTAAAAACATCACAATAATCCACAGAAAAAAAGCAATATTATGGATAGAGGACTCGTATTTTAGCCTGAAGCATCAATTTAAGTTAAAAACACTTTACTGATGGATTAGTTGTTGTTGTTTTTTTTTACAAAAAATGCAGCTTTTGCTTCACAACATGTTAATTGATGGACTGGAGTGGTGTGGATTACTTGTGGGTTGTTGTGATGTTTTTAATCAGCTGTTTGGACTCTCATTCTGACGGCACCCATTCACTGCAGAGGATCCGTTGATGAGCAAGTGATTGCTAAATTTACCTAAATCTGTTTTTATGAAGAAACAAACTCGTCTACATCTTGGAGGGTCTGAGAGTGAGTACATTTTCAACTCAGTTGCAAAGGAAAACACTAAACTTCCTTGTTATTGGCATACAGTTCTACAATTGCATTGTTGTTTTATCTAAATGAACTAAGTCTGGCTGAGGACATACAGGACCAATTATATCTCTATTTTATCTCTGTAGAAGGCACATGATTATGGGGGAATATGTATGTAAGTTTAAAATTTTTCAAAGCACATTTTTCTTTCTTTCTTTTAATCCACTTTAATGTTTTATTAATGCCATTTAATGTTTTTAGCAAATGTTTGTGAATGAGTGTTGCGCCAAAAACACATTTGGTGTACTATGATGTAACCAAGAAATGATATTTCCATCTTTTTTCATCAGTGTGTACTAGTTTCTTCATTCCTTTTCTGTAGTTTGTGTTTACTGTATTTCAGAAATTGTCTTCAAATGTACAGGAGAAGTTTTATTGTTTGGCTGCTGAAAGGTTTGGCTATGCAGGACGTTTTGAAGCGTCCTCCAATAGCACTGGGATTTCGATTGAATGTTGGTGGTAGGAAAGCTTTGGAGAAGGGCAACCACTAAAACTCAATCTCCCAGAAGCCTTTGCTGAAGTGAGCCTGAGGCAATTTCTGTTATTACTGATCAGAGTTTGCTTTTCACTACATATTTAGAGACCAAGGGTGCATGTCCGTGTGAATGCGTGATACTGCGAGTGTGGTTTTGTTTCAGGTGAAATTAAATGTACCTTCTTTTATCATTTAGTATTAAATAACTGTCTTTCATTCAAACCTTTTTATTCTCTGTATGTGTCCTTCATGTACATTACATAAGCAGAGTAGATACTGTATGTATAGTAATATATTGGGGACTAAGGAAGACTTGTTTTCTTTCATCTTCTTATTTTCCATAATAAATACCGATTTTGCTGTATCTCCGGTGTTAATGTGTTGTACTTATACTGAATATTATTTTATTTTTTCTACATATGAGTAGTGCATATATTGTGTGTGTGTGTGTGTATGTATGTGTATATATATATATATATATTGTTTTGTTTGTTTTTTTTTGCTACCACCAATCTTACATTGAATGTTTGACTTTGGTTTGGCTGTGGACTCAGTCACTGAAGTCCAAAGGAATAGATGATGTATTACTTTGTGTGTTGGGCTCTAAAAGCATTGAAAAACTTCTCTCATGGTCTTAAAACCATGGTCATGGTTCTTTAAACATGTACAATGGTACAGTCATGATATTGTGAAATATGGTATTGTTGTAAATGGCAGGCTGTATTTCAAAGCACAGGAGCCTGTTATAAAACTACTGATAAAAACTTGTCATATCATGGTTATTAGGTTATACATATGCACCATGGTATCCTTGGAGTACCATAAAATGTATTTACGTGCATAGTATTACCATGTGATACCATCACTGTACCTACTGCAGTATTTCTGTCAGTCATGACCAAACGTAATTCATATAATCGAAATGCACATATATAATCACGTAACCACTCTTAAACTCAGTATGTGAGAAGAGCGCGAGACTCACCCATTGTGTGAGTATATACACACATCACGCATGAGCGCGAGCAGCTCTGCTGTTACTAGAGAGCGTCCTGTAGCGTCACGTGATCGTCAGTCAGGAAAGGAAGAAGGGAGGAAAACTGTCCAATAACACGCTCAAAAGGCAGGTTAAACATCGATATAATCTCAAAACGACGTACTAGATCTCTTAAAACGTTCTCTTTATGAGTGTCTCTATCTTTGTAACACGGCTTTAGCAGTTATTATACGCTAGAAACAAGGCTGCATTTGATGGTTTAATATCAAGCAAACTGCTCGAGCTGAGAGTCGAGAATGACTATTATTAAGACACGTTGACTTTTCTCTGCGAGTTGTGCTTATTATGCATGATTTTCGTACTTTACGGGTATAAATGAGATTGATAATGTTTTAATTAGCTTTTAACACCTTCTTGTACGTTGTTAAACCATATCTATGTGCTACAGATCTATCTGACTGCATGTATCTGCAGCATTCTGATGCTCACTTGAAATGTAACGTTAGTGTAAATATGTTTTTAAATGTTTATTTTTGAACGCACGTTGGTATAAAACTGCTGTCTGGATCACTAAAACTTTTGCAGTAGACTCTATTGGCTGGTTGGGTCACTGTGTTTTTACTGTGACAGTACCACGGAACAGTATCAGATGGTAATACCATGGTATTTTGACGTGTACAGTGATATTGAAGTTCATGTATCATGGTGTTTACAAAAAACTTGAAACTGTTTCCAAGAACACAGCTTTTAATGCCACGAAACATGTTTAAAACGTTGATACTACCATGGTGCTTATTGGTTCCTTTTTTGTACATGCAAATTAAAGATAAAAAAAAACGACGGGAGAACTTTTCGTGTACGACCCACTTCTGCGTCAAGGCTCCTCCACCACCAGTGAGTACACACTACAATTTTTACAAAACGGGCGCGAAATGCACATATATAATCACGTAACCACTCTTAAACTCAGTATGTGAGAAGAGCGCGAGACTCACCCATTGTGTGAGTATATACACACATCACGCATGAGCGCGAGCAGCTCTGCTGTTACTAGAGAGCGTCCTGTAGCGTCACGTGATCGTCAGTCAGGAAAGGAAGAAGGGAGGAAAACTGTCCAATAACACGCTCAAAAGGCAGGTTAAACATCGATATAATCTCAAAACGACGTACTAGATCTCTTAAAACGTTCTCTTTATGAGTGTCTCTATCTTTGTAACACGGCTTTAGCAGTTATTATACGCTAGAAACAAGGCTGCATTTGATGGTTTAATATCAAGCAAACTGCTCGAGCTGAGAGTCGAGAATGACTATTATTAAGACACGTTGACTTTTCTCTGCGAGTTGTGCTTATTATGCATGATTTTCGTACTTTACGGGTATAAATGAGATTGATAATGTTTTAATTAGCTTTTAACACCTTCTTGTACGTTGTTAAACCATATCTATGTGCTACAGATCTATCTGACTGCATGTATCTGCAGCATTCTGATGCTCACTTGAAATGTAACGTTAGTGTAAATATGTTTTTAAATGTTTATTTTTGAACGCACGTTGGTATAAAACTGCTGTCTGGATCACTAAAACTTTTGCAGTAGACTCTATTGGCTGGTTGGGTCACTGTGTTTTTACTGTGACAGTACCACGGAACAGTATCAGATGGTAATACCATGGTATTTTGACGTGTACAGTGATATTGAAGTTAATGTATCATGGTGTTTACAAAAAACTTGAAACTGTTTCCAAGAACACAGCTTTTAATGCCACGAAACATGTTTAAAACGTTGATACTACCATGGTGCTTATTGGTTCCTTTTTTGTACATGCAAATTAAAGATAAAAAAAAAAAGCAGTGATCAGATATCAAAGGCTAATACTGTGGTTCTTTGATATGCTACTGTATCATGACATTTAGATGCAAGATTATGTGGTACTACCAGAAAATACCATGGTAAAGTGATAGTATTAGATGGCAATACCATAGTATCTTTTCATGCTTCTCACAGCATGAACAGAATATCAAGGAATTTTAAAATAAGAGGCTTGGAAAAGTCACTAATATATATTTTATATGAATATGATGTTTTATCAGAATCAGAAAAGGGCTTTACTGCCAATTGTGTTAACTTTACACACACAAAGACAATGTCTTGGTGACAGGAGCTTCCAGTGCAAAGAAAAAGTACAGACATGCATATAATTAAATAAAATGTAACACTAATAATAAAGATTTGTATTATTTTTAAAATATCTTGTCACATGGTTTTGACGCTATGTCTGATTCATGTATAGTTTAGTCACTTCCACAGACTTTTATTTATGCCACTTGTTTTAAGAAAGAGGAATTTGTGTGTTTTAAACCAGGTCAGATGTGTGAAGTAGGATGTTCCGATATATATGACACCTCAGTCATTGACTTCACTCTATTTTTTAGATCAGAAATGGGATGGAGATGTTCGGCAAGTGCTGGTGTTTTGCTTGACTGTTGGAAGCAGGCCACACGTGAAGGGTTCAGAGAAGAGCTTTGAAAGAAAGGTGACTTTACATCTACACTTCGGTTTGAAAGTTTGGGGTTGGTAAGATATATATATATTTTTTTTTTTGTAAGAAATTAATACTTTTATATAGAAAGTACTGTATGTGTTCAATTGATCAACAGTAACAGTAACATATTTATAATGTTACTAAAGATTTCTGTTTCAAATAAATGCTTTTGAATCTTCTGAGCTTTCTATTCTTTAAAGTATCCTAAAATTATTATCTGAAATTATTTGATAACAATAAAAAGTGTTCTTGATTTGTTTCTTGAGCGGCAAGTCAGCATTTTAGAACGATTTCTGAAGAATCATGTGACATTGAAGACTGGAGTAATAGAGTGCTCAATGGATGACATATTTTTGTAGACCAAAACATGGAAACGAGTTCATATAGTCCAGAAGTATTTTTTTCTTTTCTTGGGTTAACTGTCTGAAATAGGTCTGTGGTTAACACACGTTCATGAAAATGTGTATGTTTTGATGTTCTGATACAAGTACTGTATTTAGGCTTAAAAATTCTGTTTGGTTTTTGTCAAGGGAACCAGAGTAATGGTAATACATCATCTCTGCATGTGGCTTCTGGAAATTCAACTTTGCCATCACAGGAATAAATGACATTTTAAAATATATTCAAATTGAAAACATACTTTAAATTGTAATAATATTTCACAATACTGTTTTACTGTATTTTTGATCAAATAAATGGTGAGCATAAAAGACTTTTCAAAAACATAAAAACTTTAATAACTTTTGCAAGGTAGAGTATGTTCATTTTTTCACAATGTTTGATATTTCTTAATATTTATGTATTTGTTCAGAAATGGCATGTTTTTTTTTATTCAATAAGAGGAATTGTCATTGTAAAATCAAACAGCCTTTGTAGGCAAATAGATTCAAGATGTTGTAGGAAGTAAAACACAATAAAATCTATTTAAAAATAATGTTTTAAATTTTTTTTACCTGCATATATTTTTACTAAAGCGTTTTAATACATGAAGTACATTGCATTTCCTTTAACGCTGTTTTTAACGCCGATTTTTTGGCCCGTCTGTTTACATTCACTTTAGTCATGACTGGTATCTGATATCTGTGTTTACATAATTCCCACCCAAAATGATTGTGAGTGATCGCTTTATAGGCACATGGTAGACCCTCGGGTTTTGAATGGCTGTGCTATTAAATTATTTATATAATTCACGTCGAGTGGCCATTGAGCTATTATTTGCCAGCATGGACAACGGCTGTCATGGATGTTTTGCAGCTCAAAATCTGACTGAACGGATAAATAACAGAAAATGACAGTAATTTTCATTTGGTATGCTATTTTATACAGCTCGTGGATTTTTGTGTTTACACGCATGCATCAAATTCCGATCTGTGTCAGATGTGGGCAAAAAATCGGATTTTTTCTGCCAGTGTAAACGCAGCCATACATTGTCTGATAACTGAGGGAGAATGTGAGCACTGTGTGCTTAGGCGCTGCCGTTCTCAGCGCCGTCAAAATAAAAGTCCCGCCTCGAACGCATCGGCTAAACGGGAAAACTTATCGGCCGATATTTAAAAAATGGCAAATATTGGCCGATATATCGGCCTTGGCGATATATCGGTCGACCACTATTTGTGTTAAATCAATATTATTAAAGTAAAATATTATCAGTATATCTCTAATATTTGCTGTAAATGTATTTACGGTGTCATCTTTATTGATTTCTGTTTCAGAGAACATTATGAAGTTGAATGAGAGGAGCGTGGCGCATTATGCCACATGCAACTCTCCTCCAGACAAGACAGGCTTCCTCTTCAAGAAAGGGGAACGGAACACGGCGTACCACCGCCGCTGGTTTATTCTGAAGGGCAACATGCTGTTCTACTTCGAGGAGAGGGAAAGCCGAGAGCCGATTGGCGTCATCGTCCTGGAAGGCTGCACGGTGGAGCTCTGCGAGTCGGAATCCGAAGAGTTCGCCTTCGCCATTAAATTCGATTGTGTCAAAGCGAGGGTCTACAAGATGGCTGCGGAGAACCAGGCCACTATGGAATCGTGGGTCAAGGCTCTGTCCCGGGCGAGTTTCGACTACATGCGGCTGGTCGTGAAGGAGCTGGAGAGGCAGCTGGAGGAGGTACAAGAAGAAGCCAGATCTTCACAAGCCAAAAGCAAGCCGAAGAAGCACCAGCCGCAAGTGCAAGGAGCAACAAGCTTCCAACCCGCAACCTTTTCGCTACAGAACGCCTCCATTACAGGGCCTTCGCAGGAAGGGGTGTCTAGTAGAGAAAATGGGGTGTCTTGGAGTAAACCCACCAGCGTGCCAAACGGTGTCAGCGAGGGCTGCGTCTGGGAAGGGGACTGTTGTGGGAGGGGGGATGGAGTCAAACCACCTCCGGTACCTCCGCGGAGGAAGACCAACGGCGGGTCACTCGAGAGCCCCGTTTCACCCGGCACAGGCTGCTTCTCCAAACTACACGACTGGTACGGCAAAGAGGTGGCTGAACTGAGAATAGAATGGCTGCAGAGCCAGTGAATGAAATCCACAAGAGACTCGAAATATACATCCGCACACAAGACATGCTCAGTGCAATCTCGGTTAAAGGCATAATAGGTCAAATTCATCTAAAAACAAAGAGAGCATTAGAATCATAATCACTCGTCCACTGTTACTGATGTTTTTTATTTCGTTAAACAAGACCAAGCCATTTTTTAAAGGAACATTCTGTCATCATTTACTCACCCTCATGTCTTTCCAAACCTCTCTAGAAAATCTAGTTTAAATGTTTTTAAATACAGGAGAGTACAATAAATGTTTTATCAACTGTATGCACCAATGTGACAAAGTAAACAGCAATAGTAAATAGCGCAACAGCAATAGTGCAATATTTTTAAAGCAAGTGCAGCATTTTTCATTGTTTTAAAAAACTGAAAGTATGCTGAAAATGTACTCCCCTCATTCCATCTAAGATGAAGATGAGTTTGTTTCTTCATCAGAACAGATTTGGAGAAATGTAGCATTACATCACATGCTCACCAGTGGATCCTCTGCAGTGAATGGGTGCCGTCAGAATGAGAGTCCAAACAGCTGATAAAACATCACAATAATCCACACTAACATCTTGTGAAGCGTAAAGTTTGTAAGCCTGTTTGTAAGAAAAAAAAAATCCAAATAATAATCCAAGTCCATAATCCATAATAGCCACCGATGCATTGTTTTTAATTGTTTTGGATTGTTTTCACTTGTAAATGGTGCTTAATCTGTGCATATTTCTCTCCTGATTCAGACAAGATGAATTTTACTTGTGGATTATTGTGACGTTTATATCAGCTGTTTGGACTCTTATTCTGACGGCACCCATTCACTGCAGAGGATCCATTGCTGAGCAAGTGATGGAATGCTAAATTTTTCCAAATCTGTTTGCACGAACAAACATTTACATCTTGGATGGCCTGAGGGTGAGTAATTTTTAAGCAAGTTTTCATTTTGAGATTAACCAGTCCTTTAATACAATGAAAAACATTGCATTTTCTTTGAACTTTGTTGTGAGTTGACCTAAATGAATCATTGAATCAGTTTTGAATCGATTCATTAGAACACACAGTTTGAACTAATGCACAAAAATGAATTTTACAATCTTTATGCTATGTTTGCTACTTAATTTAATTAAGAGATGCTCTTAAAATAATCTTAACATTCCTGTACTTAGCAGTTTGTGAGACAAGGAAGGTTTGAAAAACAAATCTAATGATGATGTGTGCAAGTCTTACAAACCGATATAATAGCTTTGTGTTAGGAAAAGCCTGACATTTGAGTTTTTGCATGTTTCTCAAGGTTTGATGTTATATGATGTCAAACATTGCTTCTCACATCTCGTTGACATTAAAACTTGCATCATGTGTCTTGATGCACCTTGATGCAAGATTTTAGAGATTTTAAGTGAAAAATTAACATTTTGGCACACAAAGATTTATGACTTTACAATACTCAGATTTGGTGCATAGGTTGTATGGACTACATTTATGGTGCTTTAAGTTATTTTTGGAGCTTGACAGTCCCAGTCCCCGTTGTAAAAAAAGAGCATTCTGGATGTTCAGCCAAACTTCTTCTTTTGTGTTCGTTGAAGCAAGAAAGTGATGCTGGTTTGGAACGACATGAGAATGAGTAAATGATGATGCTGTTTTCTTTTTTTGGATGAACTATTCCTATAAATTCTCGCACTTAGATTCATTTTGGGATTTTCCTAGAACCTCATGTTGAAGTGACTTGACATTTCCTTCTCGTTTGTATTTTTTTGTTTTGTTTTTTGAGGTCTCTTGCATAACAACATGAATTTCCTTTTTCACAATGTTTGTCTTGATAAAAAGACCTGATTTTCAGATTCACAGACACTTGAATGTTAAGTATTACAGTGCCAAAGCTGGGCTATGGCAATTTGTAATCATTTTACAATATAAAGTAGCAAAAAAAATATTGCTTAACAGCACCAAAAGTTAGATGTATCCCAAGATTTCTGGCAGTGAATTTTATGCTGCATTTTACGAGATCTACAATCCAACCTGCCAAAAACATAATTGCCAAAATGATTTCTAACTTTAAAGTATGTAAAAGTGTCTCAGACAATGGACTTGTTTAACTAACCAGCTAACATGTAATCTTCTGTTGATGGATCTTTTTTCTAAGCAGCTCTAATACACGGTTATTCTATTTTAGGTTAAGCTTTGCTATGCTTAATGATATATTATCATTCTTGCCAATAAGCGTGTTAATGCTTTGCCTTGCCTTTTAAAACTGACCAATTATAGTCATCATACTGTGACCAACATTTAATACGTTATAGAATATATACAGACAACTTATTAATGGCTTTTGTAAATGCATTTTAATGGTACAAATTGTGTGCAATCCTATAATCATATTTGGGGAGATTTAACCTATAGTGACACTAAATGGGATACGTGGCTGTCCAACAGATTTCATCTAAAACACTGTGTTAGATTCCACAACGCAAATAGGAAAACACCAGCAAATAAGAGATGAATGTGGATAAATAACTTGTGTATTAACCAGGTACTGATAGTAAAATGATAACAACTGCAATAAAGTTAACTTGTTGCTGAATAAGGTTGTATTGCAATAACCAGATCTGAATGTTTGGTCAAAACGGCCTTTGAAAATTACATTGCGTAGAATATTACATTTGAAGGAAACAAGAATGTACGTTTAATGTTTTCAAATGAGTCAAATAAGGATGAGCATCCTCATAAAATATGTATAGCGTTTTGTTTTTTAATAAAAACGTGAAGTCCCACAGTCTCACCACAAGATGGCTCAGCATTACTGTGCATAAAGGTTTCACGCACAGATCCTGTCATTGCATTAGTTAGAAATCTCCATGTATTTCATTTAATTTTGTATTTATTTATTTTTATTTCATGAATAAAGAATAATAATGAATAATATTTTTATTTAATATGAAGCATTATTTGATGTATGGTTTCTGAAACCCACTGTAGTCAAATTTCCTGTACATTTCTTTAATATGTTGTGATGTGCATCATAAAAAATAAATCATGAAACGTACACTTTAACATTATGCTCTTCATGACCTTTTACAAGGACATGAAAGTAAACATTTAAGTTTAGAGTGGATTGTACAACTGTGGAGTATTTTTTTCTACGCTGAAGATTTCATACATTTTCATACAATTGTATACTATCTCACAGCTAGTAACACGCTTTTAATGGACAACATCATACATTTGACGACGGAAACTTCAAAATCTATCACGTGAAGCCACAAAGTAAGCACTGAAGTTGAAGCTGTTTTTAAAATAAAAGTCCCAAAGCGCTACGTTAAATTGAGATATGTCAAATAGTGAAAGTAGCGTCCGATGATGTTAAATGCTATGCTTCCAACTATTGTAAACATGTATTTTTTACAATTTACAATTATTATGCGTGCAATTTGTATGAGCTATTAGTAACTGACTGACTTTTCACATTTTAGTGAACGGCAAAAAAAAAGAAAGTTATATTATCTATATGTTATTTATATATATATATATATATATATATATATATATGATTACACTATTTTCTGTTGTGAAATATTACGTATATTATATATAGAGATAATAATAATTAAGAAGGTTACAGCCACCACATGGCTGGCTTCTCACACGAAATGGGGCTTTTATTTTGCCGGAAGCTCAGATGTCTCGCAACGTCAAGGATTGTTCGTCGCTTGTCGCTGTGTCCATGGAAAGTTTGTGGGGGGGGTTTTCCTTCCTGAAAGTTAACGCAGGGCTGTTGTTGCGCGCATCCAACATGACAGATACAGTAACGGACATCACGGCTGGCAGGCAAGTCATGTTTAATATTTGTCACGGCTCTCTCTAGCAGCATGTAAATGTGTTTAACAGGATTCAGCATAATCCCGACTCTTTCGGGCCAGAAGTTTCTTTGTCAGCGCAGATAACGCAGAACGTGAGAGTTTGAGTGGAGGGGGGGGGTCTCCCGTCTCTGCTCTCCAGCAGGTATGACACCGCAGTAATTATTATGAAAGTTGGGCTTGTGCATTCATAGTTTCGTGTAACTCATGTATTGAGTGTTGAGGTTATGCGCTGCTGCCTTCCCTCGCAAAGTTATGATGAACTTGACTCTGGCACGCGAGTGGCAGAAATAATCCTTAAAGGGATCACGCAGTTTTACAGCGCGCCTCTGGCTCGGTCCGAGAGATACGTGAATTACGTACGGTTTCTTAGAATTTGCGTCATTTGGAATGGGCGATTAAAGTAAGCATGGCAAAATTATTTGAAGAATTAAACAAAAAAAAAAACTGCACGTGCTCATGCGTTCACGCCAGCTCAGAAGTTTGTTAATGGGATCTATTTAAGGCCGGTGATTAATCCGTATTTTTTTTGTTGCACACCATATACATTATTATTATTATTTATAATAATAATAATGTAAAGCGAGCTTATTTGCATACTCATGCGAAATAGACTCGTGAACGTGTATGCATGACTTTTTAGGCGACTGGAAACGCTGCTTTTACTCAAGTTTATGATATTTTTAAATAACAATAATAATAATAAAATAATAATATGACAAGCTTATTTGCATACACATGAAATGGGCTCGTGCACGTTTATGCAAATAGCTTTGTCAAATATGCTTTTCATTGTCTGTATCAGGCTACTGCTTTTATTTCAGTTTTTGATGTATTTTATTATTATTATTGTTAATGATGATAATAATAATAATATGAGATACACTCAACTGCATGCACATGTGAAATGGGCTCGTGAACATGTGTATGCAAATGAGTTCACACCCGATATGATTTCATCATCTGGGCCTCTGGATCAGTTTGTGATGTTTATGTCAGGCACATGTTATGGCTTTAATACAAATCGTAAATTTTGAAGGACTTAGGTAGCATCTACTGAGTGTAAACTCTTCTTAGTTTATGTCGTTTGACTTGAGAGTGTAAATTTTATATATATATATATATATATATATATATATATGTATGTATGTGTGTGTGTGTGTGTGTGTGCACGCAATATTGAACGTTCATTATATATTAACAAGGTCAGTATGAACTATCACTTCTATTAACTGTACAGTCGAGAAAACAATGCAAACAATCTCATATGAATAGTATTTATCACTCATGACCAGATAATCCACGCCTAAATAAACAAATAAATCTCACATAACCAAATCTTTACCTTTGACTAAACGGCATAAGTCTGGTCCACATCGCAGCTTATTCTGCAAACGCCTACTTAGACAGGAAGTGCTTGTATAGTGACCCACCACATTTTGTTTAGATGCAGGTTCATATGAGATATTTATTGATTAGATTATACCACAATAATCAAAACAAAACAAACTTTGGCAAAAACATTGATTAGTTGTATCTTATAAACCTGACAACAAATCCAGTGTGTTGTTACTACCAGAAGTTGTGTAAAATAGGCAGAGAAAGTGCGAACGAGGAGACTAATTCTGATGCAAAATTCATTAGCTGATTATTTTGTACTTTTTTAATATTTAGTACACTTTATTGGCATGATCAGGGTCCAGAGTTAACTTTGTACCACACCTGGCCTGGAAATTGAAAAAAAGTAACTTGCAGAAAATATTTGTAACAGCCCACAAAAATGTAGTTTGCATATATCAGTGTCCAATAGAGCCATTTAGCTTCCTTAAGACCTTTTTTGTGTCAAGCAGCAGAAACATAAAAAATAAACCATGCACTGTTGTATTTTCTAATGGTTGTTATTTAAAATGATACTCTCATGTGGACTTTGGCGAGTGTTAAGTTTGGACCCTGTGTTAGGGCTGCACGATTAATCGAATGCGATTGTCATGCGCATTTTGATAGTAATGCCGGTTCTGTAATCAGCAGTAAATCATGTGCTTTCAGATGGAGCAGCATTTACTACACATAGCCGTAGTTCACTGACAAACCGTATATTGCCGTAGTCGTGTGTTTATTAGTCACGTTGAATCAATGAAAGCAGTTGAATCTTCTGTTTATTCAGCTGCAGCGATAGGCATTGTCTGGGTTTCTTCTGCGAGGCGTATTTGGAGTTTCAGCGCGAGAGCGCCCTCTGGCCTTTGGATGGAGATTTACTGCTGATCACAGAACCGTGCTTCACTGAAAGATACGCATGACAATCGCAGCTTCTGTCGAATCGCGATCTCGATTCCATTTCGATTTATCGTGCAGCCCTACCCTGTGTGATATTTATAACATGCATCAGTACAGTTTAGGGCTGCACGATTAATCGCATGCGATATTTAACGCTCATCTTCTCTGTGTAGTTAATGCTGCTCAATGTGAAAGCCCGCAGGTGATGGCGATTTACCACTGATTACAGAACCGGCTTTCTGACAAGATGTGCGTTAAATATCGCATGCGATTAATCATCCAGCCCTAGTACAGTTTCAGTTTTTTGTGTCTCTAGACGTTGGGTGTATACGAACTTAACCTTAGATCTTTCGAATGTACAGCCGAGTACAGAGAAGTGCTGATGCTACATGCTCACATATAGAACAGGGGATTCCGTTGCATCATGCGTTCATCTCAGGCTCTAAGAATCCCCTCGTTCCCACACTCGCTGGCCCCTCAACTCCCACCCATAGGGGAACAGTGTGTCACGATGTGACTGTGTGATATGGTCGAAGGAACCTTAAATGCTCTGAGTAGCACGCTTCTTTTGTGTGTGTGTGTGTGTGTGTGTGTGTGTGTGTGTGTGTGCACGCATGTGTGTACATGCACTTCCTTTTGATCAACCTCCTCGGGCTGTGCAGCCTCATAAAAGAGCACAAAGCCTCAGTTTATGCACTTTTCTGCCCTCTTGTTTGGTGTTTTGTGCATGCTGGTGTCAGGGAGAGAAAGAACGGCTATTGAATGGGCTTGTGCCAGCAGGAGAGAAAATGACAAGGTAGCTTTGTATCATGTTTGCAGTCGAGTCAAGAATGCTGTCATTGTGTGTTTGGAGACGCTGAAAGTTTGTCTAGCAGATGCACAGACATCGTTGAGTGCCACTGAGGTGTTGTAATGTGTTTTTGCTCATTTGAAGGCACACTTTGGAATGCCTCCCACTAAGTGTGTATAATAAGTGCTCCGTGCTAAAGCAAGCATCACTAGTGCTGTTGCTCACATTTAGAATTAGGGCTGTGTTCAAAGTTTATGGTAGTTTGTGCTACGGACCTCAAATCAGTTCTAAAAATCTGAATTACGATTTTCACACAGAGGATGAAGAACCTACATGGAAGACATATTTTATTATTTATGGACCACGGGCCGGATTTATGAAAATAATCTCAGACCAGTGAGGCCTACGATCAATCAGCTCCTGAACGAAATGCAAAACCTGTGCTAATTAAAAGATTGAATCCAATATTTGGTAATATTATAGCATAATGAAACATTTGTAAGCATTTTTTTGTTGGTCAGTGATTTTTAACCAGGAACAGTAACAATGTGGAGGAAAAGAGAAAAGGAAAAAAAAATCACTTTTTGCGGGGTTGAAGTAGTTATAGCAAAGTCAGTCATTTTTAGTCCAATCCTCCCTGGGTCAAAATGACCAGAGATTAACGTATTTCTTGAAATAAATTCTAATTAGAAATCGTAAGAATGATTCAAGTGCATTTTTTGGAAAATTCTTGAATAATTTCACAAATATTTTGTTAAAAACATCTTTTTTTAATTAACTCTTTCC